GGCGGGGGCGGGCTGCATCAGGAGGAAGAGGAAGCGCCAGCGACTGTCCTGTCCCCCCGCGGCCCACCGCGGCCCGGCCCTCCTGCCGGTGCAGCGCGTAGGGCGCAGGGAGTCGTAACACCTGGAAGTCGTTGCCGGCGCGGGCGCGTGGGGGCGTGCCACGTCGCGGGGGAGACGTGCGCACCGTGACTCGTGCGAGCGTGACTCGCGGCCAGCGTGACTCGAAGCGTGACGCCGCCGTCACACTGCAGCTGAGGCAGCAGCGGCGGTGTCGCCGGGAAGAACAAATAAAATGACCACCGTAAGTTTCTTTCGAACACTGTTTGCTCTCCAATGTGCAAAGAAAGAGTTTTGGTCGCTCGCGTAATTGGAATAAATTCTTCGTGTAACTAATCGCTTGGGCTTGTAATAATACCCTTCTATTACGAACCTACGAACCGTGTTCTTCACAATGTGAAGAGTTTCGGTCGTCAGGCACTAAAAGTGAAATCAAAACGCTATTGCAATTTGAGGAGAAAATTATTTATACCATTAAAATTTGGATGAATCATTAATTTTGTGCAAGTACCGAAACGGGTACACTTTAGAAAGCGAAGTTGTTTTTTTTAGATTATTATTTTTTTTAGTTTTTAGTCACTCTCTTTATTGTGAGCGGTGCTCCACAACATTCCTGCCCCTCCGTCTGTCTGTCGCGGGTATAGGAGAAGAAAATTGCGGGCCAGAGGATGGACAAACAATGGGCGGCGGCGGCGGCGTGCGGGTCAGCAGCTGTGTGTGAGTGGAAAGGGGGGGGGGGGCGCTAATAGCCGATGTTATCGTTTGGTGCAGCCCGGGGATGCACCGCGGTGACCTCACCGCCACGCTCACTGACCCTCCTCACGCTGCAGCCGAGCTTCGCGCCTCGCTGCTTCACACCTCCGGCGGCCGTGTCGCCGTCGCTGACCCCGAGCCGCTCACCGCTCACCGAGCCAGTCACTCCTCACCGAACCACTCACCGCGGCGTGATCGAACGGGAGGGCGAGTTATTGGATCACCGAACAATAATGTCCTCTCCATTTATCGCTCTCGTTCAGCGTTCTACCCCCGACACGTCCCTTACGACCTTGGCGACGTCCTCGGCCGTCCTCGCGGTCCCTCAAGGGCGCACGGCGCTGCTGCCTGCCGCGGCCGGCCCGGGCCGTGCCACGCTGTCGTGCTCAATTATTTCGTTGTCTCGTCTTTCCCGTCTTTGCAGCATTTCTTCACTGCTGGTCGTGGTCCTCCCTCCCGACCGCCTCCTCGTGATGTAGGTGGAGCACCAGACCAGACCTGGCCCTTTTGCCGCCTCCGCGCGGTGCTGCTGCGCCTCGCCGTTGGTGCAGCGTACCGTGTCCCTCCGTGTTTTCCTGATGAAGAAAAATGTGAATGCTAACGAAGTTTGATGTGTGTAATTAGTGTGAGGTGCGGAGGGACGAGATGGACTTTCCCATTGTGTGCGCGTCCGCCTGCACTGTGTGAATGCGATGATCGCGGTCGTCTGCTCGTCCTGTGTGAGCGCGCTGAGCTGAGGTGTGGGCCAGGGCTGCGCCTATGGGCTGCGCCTATGGGCTGCGCTAGCGCGCTAGCGAGCGGTCGGTATGAGTCATCGTGTGGCCGTGGCCATATATACTTTGCGCCGCCCGCTCCAGTGTTGGGATTCTGGACTGGAATTGGAGTGATTCCAATATGGTTGACATGGGCCCGAACTGGAGGATCGGTTTGGCAACCGCGTACTCTTAGTTCTATAGTGTACACATGATTTCCCCCGGAATCTTGATTTATATCGATTTCTATTGATTTCCGCGATGTTCTTGGGGGGTGTGTACGGCTGATTTCCAGTTTGGTGGTTGGCCTCTCGCTTCCAGTGATGGCATCCCTGACTGGAGTTGAACAGACTGCACTTTTTGGGAAAAAGTGGAGATAAAGACCTCCCTGCTAGAAGCGCTCTCTCTGGAGCTGCAGGGACTTCAGTGGCATTTGTGGAAGGCGCTGGCTGCAGTGTCTTCAGGACTGGAGCCAGAGAGACTGGAGAACTAGTGCTCTATGTATCTGTATAGTCGCGCAGACTGCGGAGGCGGCGGGGAGCAGAACCTTTGCCGCCTGAGATGGAAAAGTTCGCGCCTGTCTCTAAGTCGGCTGCTTTCGGCAGCAGCGCGTTTCGGCAACCATCCAAGCGGAGCGCCAACGGAGTCTTGGCGGTCGGGGGCGGGGCTGGAGCGGGCTGGAAGGCGCCGGCCGGGGCCAGCGGGGAGGTGGAGGGCGCCCCCCAAAGTGCTTTGGCCGCGATCCTAGCGGGCCGACTCCTTGAAGAGTACTCCGAAGGCTCGCTGCCAGCGCGCAGTGCGCCACAGGCTTGCTGCCGAGGGAAGCCCTTCCTTTCATGATGCTAGTTAAAACCACCACTGCCAAAAAGAAAATAATCCTGGAACTGAGTATGGTCATTGGTCAACACTTGAGGTGACCTTGTTCACTTCCGTGGTTGTACTGTACCGCATGCATGCGTGAGGCGATATTTGTCTCTCGTCTCACAGCGTGGCCCGTGGCGCCCTTAAAGCGCCGGGTAGGTAGGCAACACGCCCGCACGTGTGCAATGCGGTACGGCACATCTAGGGGCCCCTCAACCATCTTCATACAACAAGCTAAACTAGTTTGATTTAGAATTAGATACATAAATTAGGTGCCTCTGACAGCCAGGCACTCGCGTTTATAAGAGTCCCTGCAGTGCGTGTCACGTACAATAATGGCATTAGCTTTTCATTACCTTTATTCGCTCAGCCTTTTCATCGCATTAATTAACAATTAGCACTCAGCATTGCACCCCACTAGGAAAGGCGAAAGGATTTACGATAGTCCGCATGCCTGGCAGTTGACAGACTTTGCTAGCGCCACCCCCGTGACAGCATGTCACGAGAGAGAGAGATGCACCACCAGCGCTCCTTTCATCGCCCCCCCCCCCCTTTTCTCTTGTGCCTTGCAGTGGCCAGGGCGCCGGCGCCGCCCGCTGCACGTGAAAGGCTTTGTGATGTGTGGGGCCGACACTTTCGTACGGAGACGGACGGAGGAGCCTCCCCCGCCGCACTTTCTACCGCTCTTACCAGTGCGGGTCAGCCTGACGCTTAGTGGCGATTGATGATGTGCGGCGGCTGATGGCCGATATTGTGGCGATTTTCACTCACTCACCGGCGCGCAAATATGAGTTCGGGGCTCTCTATCTCTCTTCCTCCGTAAGAGAAGAGCGCTGGACCCGGACCTATGCTATGTAGCTAAAAATTAAGCTATTTAGCTGAAGATTTAGCTCTGTAGCTAGAAACATAGCTAATTTTCTTTCGGCATGGTTGAATTTTGTAGCTAACTAAATAATTAGTTATCATCCTTGCACGACATTGCAGCTCTCATGTCGGGTGTGCCAGCTGCCCCCGGGCCTACTGTGCTGTGGACGGACGGCTCTAGCTCGGCTCTAGTGAAGGGGAATCCCTGTGATAGCCCGGAAGTGCAGTAGCGCCAAGGTCACGGTCGTAAAGCCACTGCGCAGCAGCACGCGATTTTCTAGTTATTTCAAGTAGTATTATTTTTATTTTCCGTTTTTTAGGGCCGCGTGTTGTTGTTGCGCGAGGCAATATTCCAGATTGGCCGGACCGAATCACTCTCTGGCCGCGCGGCAGAGCCATAGGCAGACCAGCCGGGTGATGGGCAGTTGTTGCACTGCCAGCCCCGTGCGCGACCGCGACCGCCCTTTCACGTGCCTGCGCTGCAGGACTTTCTGGCGAATGCTTTTATTTTCATTTTCATTTTTTCGCGGAAGGTGCAAGTAGTGTAGTGCGGGGCCCCGAGCTGGCGACGAGGCTCGGGCTGAATGGCTGCTGGCCCGCATTCCCCTCTGGAGCGGGACGAAGCGGAGTGAGCGGGTCGGTGTCGCCCGCTACGCTGACGCCGGCTATAACGCTAACGCTAGCACACTCTAGCTAACGCTACCTAACGCTGGCTCACGCTAACTCACTCTAGCTCACTCTAGCTAACGCTACCCAACGCTACCCCGGGGCTGCGTGCGCGCCGCTCATTTGCTGCGGAGCGACGTCTCGGCGGCAATACTAATGAGCTGATTCGCAGAGGAGGACGTCGAAAACCCATTTCAAAATGAGCCGCGCGCGCGTTAAAACAATAAAACAAAAGCAGAGCGCAATGCGAAAATGAAGCCGTCCTTGCCTCGCCCTCGCCGACCGAGAGGGTTAATGTAATGAGGGCCTGCAGGACTGTGGGGTCCGTGGGCGAGCCGGCCGGCCGGCGACAAGAAGGATCGCCGTGAAAACGAACGGCGACCTCATTATGTTCGCACACAAGCCTCGCTATTGCTGTCGATACCCCACGCCTCACTGACCCTATTCCCCGCGCCGCACATACGCCCCCGTGCCGCACTTTACACTCGCGGCCTGGAAATGGCAATGAATGGCATACCGCATACACTTCGCGGCTCGTTTTCCACGCGTTGGCTATTGTGAAATTCGCGTCGCGCGCGGTATACATTTCCCCCGTCTCTATCGTTTGTGTCTGAGAGTGTGTTTGAACAGCGCGGGCGGGGAGGATGGAAGG